GGGGTCCACTACATCTGGTCTTCAGTCAGTGGTTTCCAAACTTTACCTGGATCGCCCCCCTTTTTTTGTCACGATGACACATTCATTGACCCTAAAAACTGAAAATTCTGTTTATATACCAAAAGACATCAGTGTCTCCAAGGGTCCCCTGCCCCTCACTTTGAGAACCACTGCTGTGAGCCCTTTTTCCTTCATCATGAATTCTGTGTTAAACTCTAAAAATCTTAAACTGTATGTGAACGGACTGCTAATGTAATGTATTCAGACAAACAGGAAGTAGTTGATGATGAGTTCAAACGCCCCGTGTCCTTCACAGATCATATTCATGGTCGGCCGAGGTTACTTATCTCCTGACCTCAGCAAAGTGAGAAGCAACTGTCCCAAGGCCATGAAGAGGCTGATGGCTGACTGTCTGAAGAAGAAGAGAGAGGAGCGCCCCCTATTCCCACAGGTGAGGAGGAAGAGGAAAAAAAAAAGGCTGAAGCCTGTTAGGCCACCTAGTGGAGAAGTGTGGTACTGTGGTTTCTCAGAGTGAAGGTCTCCACTAATGTATGTTCTAGACTAGAAGTTCCCTGAGAATTATATTCTGTAGGGACTTGTGAAAAATATATGCCATATCATCTATGGCCACAGGAGGGCACTGCACCCTCCTATGAAAAACAGACCAAAAAGACTTCCTTAAAGACCACGAATATTAAATCAAATAAGAATGAAATAATTCCAGGTGAGTTTTCTCCTGGTCTTCCTGGTCCCTGGTTCTGCTCCACCCCTGGTTTTACCTCCGACCGCAGCAGTGACTCACGTTTCCGATCCTGTATCTGTGTTACCTCAGATCTTAGCGTCCATTGAGCTGCTGGCTCGCTCGTTACCCAAAATCCACCGCAGCGCCTCGGAGCCTTCGTTAAATCGAGCCGGCTTTCAAACGGAGGACTTCAGCTTGTACGCCTGCGCCTCGCCTAAAACGCCCATCCAGGCCGGCGGCTACGGTGAGTTCGCACACACACACACACGAGACGATATCACGTGTTAAGGTAGCGTTTAAATATTAAGTCATGTTTTAAAATGTGTAGAAGAAGTCGAGTCTTCAGTAGAGATTTCGTAAAATTCTACAAATATTTCATATTATTTATAAAATAGTTTCCAATTCCGATACTTTGGGTTACGTTACGTTAGGTTTTGGTAAATATATCGGTAAAACTAAAGATACTGTTTAATGGACAGGGTCGAATATTCCAAGTAGAATTCAGTAGTACTTCAGTAGTACCTCATGTTTAAGTCGTCTGGTTCAACTTACTCCCGAAGACAGAGTTTGAGCTAGGCTGATGTTAGCATTAGCTCGGAGCTAGCACTGATGATGGCCGACTCCTGCTGCCGCGGTTCACTGACCGTCTCTGTGGTGTCCTATTTTTCAGGGGAGTTTTCGGCCTTTAAGTAAGTGCTGCAGAGCCGACGCTTCGTCCTCGTCTTACGTTTTTTTTACGTCTGTCGTCCCTGGAGTCATTCATCACTGAAACAACGGAACAGATCAACACTGGGCCGCACCAACGGAAGAAAAACGACCTGAATATCAAACAGAAACAAAAACATCTGGGACGGGAAGGATTCGGACCGACACCTGTCCACCTGTAGGAGGAGACAAAGACAGAAAGTTGAAGACGCGACAGAGAAACGGCAGGAGAGGAAGTAAAGTTCACTAACATGAAGCTGAACATCGTCCAGCGGCGTGGGCCTCGAGACGTGGGCCTCAAGACGTGGGCCTCGAGACGTGGGCCTCGAGACGTGGGCCTCGAGACGTGTCCAACGCAGTTCAACATATCACCATTAGCAAATTATTTTTATTCGCTTACAAACACTGTCATTGATTCCCACGATCGGAGCTGCGATCTCTAACCGTTAGATTTGCAGTTCGTTATTTTAAATTCCAAAAGGTCACAGCTAGCTCCCGAAAAGGTCACAATTTAAAAAAAAAAACAAAACTTTAGGTTAAGTTTGTTCTCAAAAAGTTCGATGGTCATTAAAAAAAAACAAAAAAAAACTTTAGGTCAAGTTTGTTCTCAAAAAGTTCGATGGTCTATTTAACATTAGGAAAGTCCCATGATGCACCACAGAAATGACGTGTGATGAAACACGATCAACCTCTGGGTTCAGTTTAGTTGAACACAATCTTCTTCTCTCTCTCTTTAGTTTTCAGCTCTCTGCTGCCACCTGTGCCGCGAGAAATCCGAGAGTCATTTGTTTATATTTGTCGATGTGACAGGCAGATCAATTAAATATTCTTCCACTAGGTGGCAGTAAATAGCTATAAAAGCTTAAAAAAACACTTGATGTTGAAGAAGATCTTGGTGTCTTTCTTCAATTCCTGCCAGTGTGGCTGTGGTCGTGTTCAACTAAACAGGCCCGTGTTTCACAGAAGCTTCTCTACGACTTTCCTACAAAGTCCTACTTTCAAAATCGTTTTCTTTTCTTTCTCTGATTCCTTTATTTTGCACTCTAACTTGTCGCTACTTCTGAGCCAATGGGCTGCAGCACCACCTGCTGGAAGGGCAACTGTTTTGTTTTTTTCCGTCTGCTCACACATTCCAGAGTGTGTCGTAGGTGTTTCCTCGTCTGACTTTGGGTTGTTTTTTTTTTTGCCTTTCTTCTGTACAGGCAGGCCTGCAGATATGTACTTCTTATTTATGTAAATCTTTTAGTTTTATGGTTTAATTTTCAGAACTGCTTTCTTGGACTCCCCGTCCGTCCGCGCACCGTCGTCTTCGTCTCCTGTGACTCGTGTTTTGCACTTTTGGACAGATAGCTTGAAGCTAACCGGTGACAAACTGGTGACAGGAACCTTGTCATGAGTTTCCTGGAGTCCATGTTCACGACGAGTCGGGAGAGAAATCTGCTCTGAGAACCTCAGCTAAAGGTTAGCCTATCTGTTAGCTTCGGGACTTGTGGTCGGGCCGGTGGTGGAGGTCAACTGTAGACGGTGACAGCTGTTGGACAGGTTTGTCCAGCGTCGCTGTGTCACAGTGGGTGAGGAGTGAGGACTCGTGTCCCCCACGTGGGTGAGGATCGTCTCGTCCGTCTTCTTGCACAGTGCGATCTTCGACCGCTGTCTTCGTAGCTAGCGTTCGTTTTTCTCCTGGTCAGTCACAGGACCTGGACACGTGGACGGTGACGTCCGACGTCCTGACCATTTCAGAGACCTTGGTGTTCTGTCACGTGACTCGGCTGAACCTTCAGACGGTCCGGGAGGAACCCTACAGGTCTCACCCCCCCCCCCCCCCCCCCCCCTCCCCCCGACTCCAAACACAACCTCCTGTTCAACCACATCTTTGATTCCTCTTTTTCTTTTTTTTAATTTAAATTTCATTTTACCGAAACATTCCGCCCTCCTCGTTTACCTCCCCCTCGTCCCCCTCTCCTCCTTGCCTGCACCTTTAACCCGACCTTTAACCCGACAACCGAGGACTATTCTTTAAAAAGAAAAACAATTTAAAAAAAAAAAAGTTGATTTGTTTTTATCTGTTAGTTTTACGTGTAAATACTTGTACAAAGGAAATACTGTCGATTTGCGGGGAGGCGTGGAGACGTCACGTGACGAATGAGAAACTGTTGGAAACAAAAGTCCGCGGCGGAGACGTTGATTGGCCGACCTCCGTGACCAGCGGTGACGTGTAAAAACTATTTAAGGCTGTATCATAAGAAAAGCTTAATGTATTTGTTGTGAATATGAAAAACTGATATATTAAAGAAGTGCATGTAAACTGTAGCTGCTGTAGTCCCGTCTCATTCCACATGGTGGCAGCATTGACGAGGAAATGTGTTTTCTGCCGCGTGACGAGTTGAACCTGAAAAAGTACACGGGTCAAATATATCCACGTCACAAACTTAAATACTTTAATAACAAAACTATATATTTTTTTACCATGTTAAACAACAAAAGTAAACATTAAAAATGAATTGCTTGGGATTTTTTTTTTAAATAAATGACTAAATAAATACTCAAATAAATCAAACCTCCACTGTAGACGTTGCCACCTAGTGGTCACAGAGGGTATAGGGTATTTGTTTAAAGGCTCAACTGTTCAGTCCTGGACTAAAGTTTAAACATTTATATATTATTTACAGCAACAAGAGGTCGTTGTTTACAACAGGAAACTTTTTATTTCCCAGAATCCCCTTCTGCTCAGCTGTGTTGATGGACTCGATCAGAAATAGATGGGTGAGGCCTGTGTGAGCAGTTCTTCACTGATGCTGCAGGGGTCACTCACGAGCTAAAGTACAAGTCAGCAGCTGTAATGAGAACACACACACACACTCTCACACACTCTCTTGATGCTGCAGGGGTCACCCTCGAGCTAAAGTACAGCAGCTGTAATGAGATCACTCTCACACACACACACACACACACACACTCTCACACACACTCACACTCACACACTCACTCACACACACACTCACACTCACACACTCTGATTAAAATGACTAAAAGCCTCAGTTTGAGATTCAAATGTGTTTCAGGAAACGTTAATTCTACTTCCTGTCAAATTCTCTCACCTGGACTGAAGTGTGAATACATTCACCAGGGGTCGGGCTGGAATCTCCCATCATGCCTCTCTCTCATCTCACACACATGCACATTTTTCTCATTATTACTGTTGAATCGGGAACACACACACACACGTACTGACATTTGTGCTGTGTGAGGACCGCAGGAAATAATCCCAGGTGGAAACGGTCCCCACAAGAATAGATACACCAACACAGACACACATTGTGGAGCAAATAAACCCTGCAGTTTGTCTGAACAGGTTCATCAACCAGGGGTGAAAATAATAGTAAATTAACAGATGAAAACAGTGGACGATCAACTTCCTGTTTCAGTCGTTGTTTTCTTCTTCTGGTGAGATCGTCGGCCTCCCCCTCATCTTACCCCTCTCACCCCTCACTCCCTCCCCCCACCCTGTACTTTTTACACCAACCGTCTCAGTGTCCTCTTTTTTTTTACTCTTTGCTTCTGTGGAGCTCCTTCTCCATATCACCACTGCTCCACCTTAACTGTCTCTCTGTCCACCTTAACTGTCCCTCAGTCCACCTTAACTGTCCCTCAGTCCACCTTAACTGTCCCTCAGTCCACCTTAACTGTCCCTCAGTCCACCTTAACTGTCCCTCAGTCCACCTTAACTGTCCCTCAGTCCACCTTAACTGTCCCATTGTCCACCTTAACTGTCCCTATGTCCACCTTAACTGTCCCTATGTCCACCTTAACTGTCCCTATGTCCACCTTAACTGTCCCTATGTCCACCTTAACTGTCCCTCCGTCCACCTTAACTGTCCCTCTGTCCACCTTAACTGTCCCTCTGTCCACTTTAACTGTCCCTATGTCCACCTTAACTGTCCCTATGTCCACCTTAAC